GTGTGTTCAGCACTTTCAACACTGATGCAATATTTTGTTATGAAGGACACAAATCCCCAAGGTAGAATTTTTAATGTGAAAGCAGAAGAAAAGAGGGACTATAAGATAAATGGGCCATATAAGTAAACCATATCACGGGGATCTGTGGTATTTCAGACTTAAGGGTAAACAGGGACATTCTATCTTGGAGTGTAAATATATTTTGTCATCAAAAGTAATGGGAGTGTATCTAGTATTTTGTAGTTTGGCAAAATGTTATCTGCCACACAACTCTTCACTATGCTTAATGTACGTCTCTTCTTCATAAGTGTGAAAATAAGCAAGAAAAAAGATAATAATGTAGAGGCAGGCTTATTTTTTGGAACAAATGTTATATGCAGCGTTTTGTTTCCTCCCAGCTAAGACAGTACTTGTTTAATTGGAAGGAAAAACATTGTAATGTGGCTAACTGGCTCCTGCTACTAAAGTCTGTGCCAGAACTGTCAGGGTGGTGCTGCTTGTGGGGTGGTGTTTCCAGTTCTCACGGATTCAACCAACCTAACTCTAACATAAATAAAGACCAGAGAACAAGGTCTGTTACCTTAGTCATGGCTTACCCAAACCTCAAGCAGTGGACTCTTGAAAAAGGTGACCATCACAGGATGGTGGAGTGTGAAACCCTTGATCTGTCAAGGGCATGTTTATACTTGGAAACAGGCCAGGGATATTCATATGTGAATATGAGTTCCTTCCCTATTCTGCTTGATAAAAGGTGGATAAATCTAAGTGCTTCCTGAAGCATAAAGTTCTAGTGCAAGCAGACTAACAAACAAAAAAGCTGACGTGTTCCAAGCTGGCATTAATCTGTTTGTCAGTTTGTCCATGCCTTGCGGGAGCTGTAGTTCAGGGCTGGTAACCCCTGCTGTGCAGCCTCTCCCTGGCCAAACAGCTGTGGTCTTTCAGCCTCATATTCTGTTTTGTGCTAATTTCCCTTGATCAAAAGTTCTCCTGAAAGCTACTGGCTTTCAGAATTCATCAAGACTGTTTTCCAACAAGGAAATGTTTCCCCTAAATTTTTTTTGGACAATGCTATTTTCAGGGTAGCAGACACAGCACAACAGATCGGTTAGGGGAAACGGTGAACCAGAAAAAAGGGTGTTTAAATTACAGTGGTGACTTTTTTTTACACGTAGCTTTCCCTAGTTTAAAGCTCATGTATGAACTAATGATTAATCACACATGCAAAAGAGACTTTGTGCTTTGACAGCACCTTTCCCAAAGGATGTTCTCAAAGCAGCCTGTACAGAATGAGTTCCCTCATAATTACACCACATATTTTGCAGATGAGATTGCCAAGGTGCAAAAACACTACTTAAGACTATGCAGAAGCCTGTGGCAAGGATAAAAAGCAGGTTTCCCGAATGTCAAATTTGTTTGAAGGCTCCTTCTCTTTACTGGTTGCAGTAAAAGAGAGTAAGTCTGAAGGCAGAGCAGAGAAAGATGGAATAAATTTTAAGACACAGCTTTTGTATCTTTATGCTCCTCTGACATTCTTCACACTTAGGGGTGTAACTGTTTCACGACTAAACTTGCAGCACAACTATAAAATCTTGGGGCTAACCAAGGCTAATTTTAAACCACCTCTCACTATCTCTGTCATTTGTAGGGTGCATTTTTAGAAGGTGGCATTTTTATTTGATAGAAGGAGCTGATAGAGCTCTGTTGTCAACAACTAGCTTGGCCAGAATCAATTCATCACTATAATTACCTGCCTCAGGACTCCTTTTTGACATGCTTTGCCTTTCTGGCTAATGAGATGTATTACCTCAGCACAGCTCTATAACATGCCTTCTGTTGATTTTCTGCTGCTTGAGGCTAGACAATTCCTGCCTGACAGCAGTTCCTAAGCTTTGCCTGTAAAACTTGTATGGCAGCCAAACCACACATTTGCACAAAGAAACAGGCAAACGTGTACAGAAATGGATAGGATAGAAACTGCTGCTGGTCCTGCTTAGAATCGGGTCTAGAAGACACAGTCTTCTCTAGCTACTGCTATGGGAGGGGAGAAGGCTTACATATAGGACAACCTCATAGTAAAACCCTTCCAAGTCCATAAAACTGCCAAAATGCACAGCTTGCTAACCAGCTGCTGCTGATGATGGAAGAAGGCAGAGCGGCTCACTTAAGCCATTGGGGCAGGTGTCACAAGGTGAGAAAAGAAATTCATCGTTTTGGAAGTCAAAGTGAAGATTCCCAAAATAAAATCTTCGAGATTTCCAGCTTTCCTTAATATTAAGGCTTGTTTTTACACCTCCTAGATGAGGAGGATTTGGAGACAGACTGTTTACTCAGACAAAGGAGACAAGTGCTAAAGTGCTTCCCTTTAATTAGGCTTTTCTTTTACAAAGGCATTAACAGATAGTTGCAGCTGAAGCAGCAAAAAGCAGTTTTGCAAGGTTAGGATGCTAAAGAATGGAGTACTTTTTACCTCAGACTCCTCCCTTACTAATAACCCTACAGTCCTCTCTTCTCTACCATGGTTTCAATCCCAATGGGCTCTTCTCAGTGCAGAACTGAGCAGTTTCAAGGGACTAGAGACATGCCTGCCTCTGATCAAAGCAGGACACTGCCACAAGGTTTGACATCTAGCAAGCCTGCCACTAATATACAGTGAACACAGAGACTTGGGGCTCTTAGGCTAAATAATTTTAAAGTCAAGATTAAAGCAATCCTATCCTAAGCAACAAGAATTGGCTAATGCAAAGCAGATTGGCAGCTACTTTGCTGAGGGTAAAATGCTTTATGAATGTGCGTGTTTAGTTCATTCTACAGTTGGCAGCGTAGCCATTTGTTTTTATGCAGCATAGCTGACCTTTCATAGGTTGCAAGGAATTAAGTGAAACGAGTTATAAATCAGCCAAATAAATGGTCTTAATTTTCTGAAGGTCGCTTAATTCAGAACAATGCATATTCAAGCTTGCTGAAAAATTTCTAGGCAGAAACTAGGAGAAAACAGGTGCTCTAGTGCCTCTGATTTTTTTCATCTCAACAAGAAGTTTGCACTTAAATTAAACCAAATATTTCTCATTATATCTAGGGTTTTAACAGACCCTGTAGCAACTAGGTTTATGCAGAATGTCCTATTAGTGTCAGTGGAGCTGGAGAGGGTGGGAGGAGGGAGAAGAGACTTCGAATGCAGTTGGAGAATTTTTTTCCTTTCAGGCTTACACTGTGCAGAGTACACACACTTGCATTATGTGAAGTAAATTATGCTAATGGTTACTTAGGCAGGTCAGGCCCCAAAATTAAAGTACATAGCATTTAATTCCAAGCTAATATCTTGGGCTTCCCAACAGACTTTGCTGCAGCTCTGCAGGACGGTGCATCTCCCAAGCTGGTTAGCTGAGGGATCTCTGCACAGCCCTGTCATGTTTCATGCAGAAATACACTAAAATGGGATCTCTTCTGTGCTGTCCCATCAGTAGGGTATTTACCAGGTGTTCACTAACTACATCGGAGGGTATCTAAATCCTACTGTGGATAGGTAAACTACACTGCCCCTGAAAAAGATTTTACTGTATCTAGTCTGTAGGG